TTCTTTAATGTGCTTAATAAACTCTTTGTTTATTTTTTCTTTTAATAATTCTTTATCTTTTCATTCTTTAACAATTATCTTGTTTAATTTGTCTAGATTTTCAGGCTTATAAACATTTTCATAAGCAACTAGTTTTTCTAAGAGTACTTCTCTAGAAATCTCACGAGTTTCTATATTTAACTTTTTCTGTTGTTCCACTCTTTTTCCTTCACCGGGGATATCTACTGGCGGATTATCTACATAAACGATTTTATTACCTCTTTTGTCAATTAACTCATTAATGAACTCACCGACTTCTCCGCCGACTTTTGACAAAATTTGTCTATCTTTTTCACATTCCTCCTCATCTTCAAAGTTAGCAAATCTAGTCTTCACGATAGTAGTATACTGAGCAATTTTTTCATCGAAAATAGTTTCTTTAAGCAAGTTATAGAGCGAAATTTCTTGCTTCCAAGATTTATCAGTACCATCTGTTACAAGTAATATTTGGCTCAGACCATCTTTTACCACATAACCAACTTTAGCCAAGTTATACAAAACTTTTTTAAGTGACATTTCTGTGCCTTCTCTTGTGTCTGAAATTCCTATCGTGTCTATTACCTGATACTTAACTCCTTGATACTCAAATTCTTCTGTTTGTATTCTCTTTGTTTTACTGATTGAATATCTACCTTCCCTAAATTCATCAGTTCTAGTAATTACGTTAGCCAGTGATGATTTTCCATTTCCAGTTCTGCCAATTAGCAGTATGTTTCTTGTATTTACCATATTTTTTTTAATAATTTTAATGTGCTTTGTTTATAAAATTTGACAATTAGCAACAAGACGATCTAAGAATTTCATCTCTATAAGTTTTTCATTATTTTTTATTTTCTCTTCTAATTTTCTTATCTTTTCTTCTGATTCTAACTTACTTTCTTTACTCATATTTTCTTTTATATTTTTTATTTCTTTTCTAAAATCATCGTTTTCTTTTTTTAATTTTTCTTTAAATTTTCCTTCTACTTCTTTCCAACTTTTTAATTCATAAGAACCTTGGCAGTTTTTATCCAAGTGTTTCAGTAACTTATCTCTCGATTCTTTTCTAACTTCCCTATTAAGAACAATTTGACGTTTTATTCTCTCGCCACTGCCGACAATGTTGGTTGGGGGATTATCGACATGGATAAATCCATTATTCGAATCTAACATGGTAGTAATTCCTGGGTTATTTTCATCACGTAATAATTTGATATCTTTTTTACATTCATTATCATCTTCAAAACTAGCAAATCTTGTTCGGACAATTGTAGTATATTTACTAAAACTGCCGTCAAAAAATAC